AGCCCAGGCGCTGCTGCTGCTGCAGCAGTGCCTGCGACCGCGGAAACAGACTCCCTCGAAAACGAAACTCGAATCGGTGTAAAAAATCGCCCCAGGGGTGGCATGCTGGAGTCCCCTGAGGAAAGCAGTAAGCTCCGCCGCATCGATGTCTACGATCGTGCCAGGCAAAACTCCGACGAGCACAGAACGGACCTTGGCCGTGACAGCTTCGACGGCGACGACGGCCCACCCCGCGGCCTGGGCGTGGGCGGGCAGATCCTGGTCGTGCCAGGAGCCGTCCAAGAAAATGTGTCCATCCATCTCTGCGGGGCCGCCGCCGAACCATCTCTCGGGAGGTTTGGTGGAGGCAGGCAGCACAGCAGCAGGCACGAGCAGCCTCTCAGCAAAGAGGTTGGCGAGAGGAGAGGTGGCGGCGGCACGCGACAGAGGGCCGAGGTAGGACGGGATATCCTCAGCCTCCATCACTTCCTCCTGCATTCCACAAGCCGTGTGCCTGTGCCTGAGCGTGCACGGGTTCTGACGGCAAGCCAAGCACACAGGCGAATCAATCATTCCAGTGCTCCACTGTCGATGCTGTGGCCACTGCCCGCCTGAAACGACACTCTTGAGGTAACCTTTTTCAGCGGGCAAAAGCTCCTTACCTTTCATGAGCGACACCAAAGGCTGAAACAAGCATCCGTCTTGCAGCTCTGGCATCTTTTCTGTCAGCGCAACACGTGACCAAAGCCAAAAATCAATGACGCGCACCAGCCAGAGCCCCACCGTGCGAGGCGAGACTTCTTGGACAGAGATGCGTCCAAGCACAGAGTGAGACCATTGGAACCCTTGGACCAGTATCTCAAGGCGGACCGCCGTGGCAGCACAAGCCGAGAAAGGGCCGCGAACGCTACCCCAGGCGTTGCCACTCTGCTGGATTCGCTCATGGGCATCTGTGATGCCTTGCTCAATCAGCTTGGTGGGGAGCCACGTGTCCCAAACAGCGCTGGCGAAAGCAAGCAGTGGGTCCATGTTGAGGCGATACACTGGATCACACCGCGGGGCCTCCGCAAGCATTAGAAGTAGCGTGATAGATCTACCTGCTAAACTGTTGACCTGCACATAAGCTTGCATCGCACGAGCGGTGCGCATCTGAGTGTTATTGCTGCCATGCACGTTGCCCCCATACTTGGGGGAGGCCAAGCAAGCAGCAGACACCATGTGATGCACACGTCGCTTCTTGATAACTTTGGCGAAACTGTGCAGCTTCCGCGCCCGAGCCATAGCTGGTCGCATCCTAGCCGCACGAGTCTCTTTGAACATAACTCTAGCACAGGCAAAGTCGATCCCCAAGTTGCGCTCACTGGAGACCCCTTTTAACTTGACAGACTTCACCCGCTGCACAATCCGATCTCTCAACCCTTTGTCCGACGCAACGACACGACCCTTCCGACTGTGGACGACGAGACCAATCTTTCTGAGCTCGGTGTGCAGCAGGGTGGTGGCATTGGAAAGCTCGCGTTCTACATCGATGGCACGCCCTATCTTTTGCAAACCAAAATCGTCTACAACGATTCCCAAGTCCACGCGAGGGAAAGTGGCGCACACTCGATCCACGGGAAGCAAAAGCACAAGCTGCAGCATGACCGTTGCAAAATGACATCCTGGCAGCACTGCTTGGTTCGCGGCCAGTGGCTGCGAGACAGCGTCGTTGAGGGAAAGCACACGAGGAGACCTGTAAAGCTCCACGAGGAGCTTCAGCTGTCGAATCGGGAAATTCGTGCGCAGCGCCGCAGAGAGGAGCTCTGCGTGCGAGACGTGCTCGAAGGCCTTCTGCAAATCTAGCAACACCAAGCCTGAGCTGAAGCCTTTGGTAGCAGCCCATTCAGCCCCAGCCGCTTGGATCCAGACTAGCTTGTCACTGCTGCGGCCGCTGGTGGACCACCAGTACGGCCGTGGATTGGCCTCTTGCCAGTCCTTGATCAGGGGGCGCCTGAGCCGTCCCTGGAGCCTGGCCAACATGTGAATCAACGCAATTGGCCTCAGGCCACCTTCCCGTTTGGCCAGGAAAACGACCTTGGTCCAGAACCTGGGCCACGAGGCAGCACGCTCAATCTCTTGCAACAGGTCCAGCAGCAGCTCAAGGCCAGCATCGGAGAGGGCCAGGAGCTGCCTGGGCGTGACCTGGTCAAAGCCACAGCCAGAAGCACGCGGGAAGGTGCCCAGACATTCCTTCAAATCCTGGAGACTGGGGCGAGGGAACTCAGGCCCTAGGTCGCTCGGCCACGGGATGCTGGACTCCTCCGCCCCCACCCTCCACCAGTGCGACCACTCCTCCTCCAATAAATCGACTTCCTGCTGCATGGTTGCAGGCTGCGCAGGCACGCCAGCTCCGCTGGCGAAAGTGAAAGAGCTGGCGTGCCGCGGCACAGGCGGTCTGGAGGTGGCGAAGAGCGCCGCTCCTCCATTAATGCTGTGACGCTGGACCCAGGACCGCCAACCATCGCGCTTGCTTTTCTCAGCT